CTTATGCTGCAGAGGCTGCAGATTGTCTCATACCGGTGCTTAACCCCTTGCGCCACCAAGGAGGCCCACTTTCTTCTTTTTTTTTCTTTTTAAAAATTTATTTATTTATGCATACGAGAGTTGGTGTACAGGCCAGAATGCGGGGCAGGGGCGGTGAGAGGATTCACCTGAGACAGAGTGGGGAACAGAACAGGCACACTGACTGAAATACACTGCTGAGGGGAGCAGCGGGAGAGTCAGGAGAGGTCTGCTGTGCCATGTGGGTTACTGACCTGGTAGGATATCAAACTCATACTGCAGTGGCTGGGGATAGCTTTGTAGTGCTGTGTCTTAACACCTTTTACCACAAGGGTGCACCTCTTGTTTTTATTTCTTAATAACACTACATACAAAGATTACTTTTATTTTGACACTAAATTCTTCCCAATACCTTTAAAATACCCTTCCCCCAATAAGTACTTTTTTATTTTTTTTTTAAAGATTTTACTTACTTACATACTTACATACTTACATACTTACATACTTATTTATTTATTTATTTATTTATTTATTATTTATTTATTTATTTATTTATTTATTTATACAAGCACTGGGTACAGTCAGAAGCTTGGGAGGTGAGAGAATTCACCAGAGCCAGAGCGGGGAGCAGAGCAGGCAGAAGGACCAAAGCACACTGCTGAGGGAAGCAGTAGGCAGCAGGAGAGGTCTGCGCGCCATGTGGGACCCTCCTCTGGTGGCCGGGGAGCAGCTGGGGATCGAACTGGCGCTGCAGAGGCCGTGGGCAGCTTCGCAACCCAGCGCTCAACCGCTGCGCCACCGGGGAAGCCCATGGCGTTCTAAATCACAAAATCAAAACTTGGTTTTGTTTGTTCTATTACAATTTGTGTGAGCACCATTATAATTAATTTTTATATAATAAGTGTCTTGGGGGGTAAGACACAAAGTCAAACAGCAACAGAGCTCTTGATTTTCATGAAAAATTCTGGCCATTTGAAATTTGAAAGAATAGTTTACTTGTTTCTTGTGTTAAGAAATAGTTACTTTACCAATACTTACAATGATACTGAGAGCTTTTTCATTAATACATTTTATAAGTAGTTCTTTTTTGCCAACTCCTTCAGATAAGAAAATATTCCTTAAGTTTGTATTTCAATGAAATTATTCTTTGGTTTTAAAGAAGGTGGGGTTTCTGCATTTGCATTCCTAAGATCATTTTTTCCCCATTAATTTTCTAAAAAGATTTGGATATAATTCTACACCTAGATATTTACCCAAAGTACATAGAAATATTAATTCAGAAGGGCATCTGCACCCCTATATTTATAGCAGCACTATTTATAATAGCTAAGCTATGGAAACAACCCAAATGCCCAGAAGTAGAGACTGGATCAGGAAGATGTGGTGCATATACACAATGGAATATTACTCAGCAATCAAAAAAGATAAAAACATGCGGTTTGCAGCAACATGGATGGCGCTGGAAGGGATCATGCTCAGTAAAATAAGCCAGAAAGAAAAAGAAAAATACCAGGTGGTCTCACTCATAGCAGGAATTTAGAAAACCTAAATGAGGGACTAGGAAAAAGAGGAATTATAGTAAGGTAAAAATCAAAATCAACAAGTAACTATAAACCAGAAATACTCTTTGACGGGGGAAAAGGGAGTAGGATCAAAACAAGGGGGGTGGGGGGCCTCTGGTGCCACAGTTGAGCGCTGGGCTGCGAAGCTGCCTGCAGCCTCTGCAGCGCTGGTTTGATTCCCGGCCCCCAGCGAGGGTCCCATATGGTCTGTCCACCTCTCCTGCCTCGCCCGCTGCTCCCCTCAGCAGTGTATTTCGTCACTCTGCCTGTTCTGTTCCTGGCTCTGGCTCTCGTGAATTCTCTCACCCTCCAGCGCTTCTGACTGCACCCAGTGCTTGTATAAATAAATAAATAAATAAATCTTAAAAAAAAAATATATTAAAGCAAGGGGGGTGGAAATTGTATGGAGGCTATAACCAAGATGAAAATGCATACATTGTGTAAAAATGGAAAATGATGTAAAAAATACAAAAAAAAAATAAAAGCTATTTGCTGCTGGTCAAGAACAAAGGCAGTCCATCACCCCTCTCCTTCACCCTCAGCCAGCTTCAATGGTGTTCCTCAGTTCAGTCACTAGCATTTCTGCCTTCTGCCTAGGCTGTGGCAGAAGAGGTCTACTTGAAGAATGGTGTTATAGTTGAAGATGACGTTTATAGGCCAGATTTTTTATTTAGTTTGTATTTGGGTCAGGCAGTATTGCAAAAGCACTATTTATTTTAGTCTGAGAATCAGATATTTTCAAGTTTGGGGCATGTAGTAGATTTATTGAAATACCTTGCAAGGGAGCAGTTTTTTCATGAAGAAGGGATTGGGACTTCCTTTTATGAGCTAGTTTTGTGGGCTTTTTCATGATGGGCGGTGGGGGGTGGGTGAGGGGTGTGTGCAAACTCTGCTGCTTGTTCTCTCTTGGGATCTTAGTGTTGTCCACATATGTGCTTCAGACTCATGTCCATGTTACAGATTTTTCACAGTTGTGTATTGCCTAGTTTTTTTTTGTAATTGATTTATAATTGAATTGTTTTGATGAGGTGTTTTTAGTAATCAATGTCAGCTTGTTGAAGTTACCTGTGTGCCACTTACTATTACCCCCAGTGACCTGCTATGAAAAATTTTGCTTCCTTTCCACAGTACCTTTTATACTCTCCTAAAACCAGGTGTTCCAGAGGGAGGAATGCTTCTACCAGGAAACAATGATTTCATTGAACTGAAAGTGAGACTGCCATTTGTCTAATTTGCACTCTTCGTGCTTTCATTTGAATTGAGAGGCAAAAAGAAGGGAATCCTTTTCTGTGGTAATTGAGAAAAACTAGCATGGCAAAATATCTTAGTATTTAAGTAGTAGAATATCAAGGGCAAATGTAAATATTACAGAAGATCTTCTAGAGGTGTTGCCATGTCTTTTTTAGTTGTTTCAAGGTCATGTTAGGCCTCAATATTATAATATTGCTACTATTGCAGGCATGGTGAGGGGCAATTAGGCCAAAGGAATTTTAATACAGTTAGTGTGTGATAGAAGAGAGAGTATTCTATTTTAAAAATAACTTTTAGCTAAACACCCAAGGTTACCCATCCCATGGTGGGTAAATGCCCTGCCAAACAGGGTTGGCCCAAAGCAGGGCCACCGAATCTGAAAACTTGTCACATGTCTAAGACACCTTCTGGTGGGGACCTTTAGAAAAAGGGCAATAGAGGACAGGCAAGCCTGGAAGGAAAAGAGTAATATTGAAATCCAAGTCAAGATAAAAGGATGCATTATCAGCCTCCCCATGGGTCTCTCACTCACATGTCTCTTTCCATGTGTCTTAAGTTCCTGATGCCAGCCAAAGGCCAAGAAGCAAGCCCGGCTTCTTCACATGTCTCTCTGCTCCATATGCCTCTTCCAGGTCTTCTCCTTTCTTTGCTTTGTCCTTCTTCTCTCTTCCTTCTGCTGCTTCTAGCTTCTCAACTCTTCCCTGACCCACCCTTAACAGGGGAACCTACCCTTTTCTGGGGATTACTCTCATACATTGCCATTACTTCACAGTTAACTATGATTTTAAGGGGATGCATATATGAGTTGCCAGGATTCAGAGGCAGTGACCTTATGATCATATGAATTTGATGGGTCCAAGTATTTGTTCAAACATCCATCTGAATATGGTTTTGTGTCCAAGTGATATAAGCATTTGACTATATTCTGGCTAAAGCCCATTATCCTGTCAGTGGCCCTCCATCAGTTGATGTAAGTTCAGTGAGTACAATAAAATATATTTCTCTATTTCATGCCTGGGGGTTATTTTACTAATGTTGGAAGTTTGTACCTTTGAATAATGTTTTATTTCTGCATCCCTAGCCCTTGGTAATTTTTTTATTGTCTCCTTTTATGAATTTAGTTTCTTTTTGGATACCACTTAGGTGTGATACCATACACTTGTCTTTTCTCTGACTTACCTTATTTAGCATAATGTGGTTAAGATCTATCCATGTTTTCTCAAAAGGTAGAATGCCCTCTTTAATGTCTGAAAAACAGTTCATTGTATGTACTTTCCGTGTACATATCTATCATTTGAATTGATGAATTGTCCATTCATGTATCTCTTTGATTGTCCATTTTTATTATCTTTGTATCATTTCCAGAGTTGAAATTGATGCTCTATTTTTAATTTTTCAAGTGCTTCCATTTTATTTTCCATGGTGCCTATACCAGTTTACATTGGTCTGCAATTTACATTTTGTCTGCAACATTGCCAGCACTTGTTATGTTTGGCTTTCTAACAGGTTTGAGAATGATATTTCACTGTTTAATTTCACCTCCTTTATCATCAGTGATCTTATATATTTTTGTGTACCCTTGGCCATTTGGAGTCTTCCATGGATAAATACATGTTTAGTTCCTTTGCCTTTTCTTAATTATTACCATTTTTTTTATCAGTTCTTTGTATTTTTTTTTTATCAGTTCTTTGTGTATTTTTCCCTAGATAAGCTTCTAGAAGGTTTATATTCTTAGGTCTTATGTTTTGTCTTTGAGCCATTTTGAATAATTTTTGCAAGTCATTTGTGATAGGGGTCCAGTTTCATTGTTTTCTAATTAGTTGTTGAAGAGGTAAATTATGGGCATTTTTGTTCCCTTCCACTAAGTTTAATTCTGTCATAGTATAATACTGTTCATATTATTGTACCTTTATTAAAATGTGGAGGTATAATACTCAGGGTTAGTTCTTTAATAGTTTGCTGTGATTTTCTGTCATTTAGAACAAATTTATGATTAAAAACATTGTTTTCACTTGTGCTTGATAAAATTTCTCTGAGCTATTGTTTCTTTCATAAATATTAGAATATAGGGCAAAATTTTAAGAACATAAAAACCTGATTTGCTACATCAAAGTAGCATGAAAAATTTGAGGCTTTTATTATTTTTTGTTTGTTTGTTTTAACAGAATGCTGCCTTTTTATATGGCCTGGGTTTGGTATACTTCTACTACAATGCATTTCACTGGTAAGTTTACTTATGCTAGATGTTTGTGTCTGTGTGTCAGTGCGTGCATTTGCATATGTGCAAGTATGAGAAACACATGAAATATTATTTTAGTATACATTCTAGTATTAGCATATTCACCTTTTAAAACTTACCAGCTTCATATTTATCTATGTAGACTTCAATAAGAGTTTGCTCTTGTTACATGTAGTCAACATATTTGCTATTGCTAATACCTTCTGATTAACTTGGTTTTGAACTATAAACATCCTAAAGCTAGGAATAATGATACTATCTTCTTTAGTTTTGAGGATTAATTGATAAAAAAATATAAGAGTTTAGAATCAATGAGCTTATAAATTGTAAATTTAATAATTTATTAAATTAAAAAATTGTAGTTTTAATATTTTATTAAATTTAAAATTTTAATACTTTTTCTCATGAATTACACATTGCTCTAATAAATCTTAAACTGTAGCTATCTGCCTTCTTTTGTAGTGATTCTTCTAAAACCTAGAACTGAAACAGGACCATTTTTAAGGGCTATAGATGAAGTTTCCCTCACAAAATTCTCAAGTCTGAATTTTCAAAATTAAAAGTGATCCTAGAGTTCAATTAGTTTAATTCTTTAGTTTGTTGATAGGGAAAGTAAAATATATTCATTTTTATTCATTGCTATTTAACCATTAATTTTATAGCAGAAGAATGCCTTGTGTTTTTTAATTTAAAAGACAATTTCAGACTTACAGAGAAAAAAATGTATTTCTTGTACAGCTGTGAATGACACTGGGTTTATAAGACTTGTGATCACTGAGATGGAGAAAATATGGGAGGTTACAAAATTAAGAGATGGGATTGATAAAAAACTTTTAGTTCGACATAATTCAAAATAAGGCTATTGAGTCACACTAAATGTATTAATTTGTTGTATTTTGTTCTTTGTCAAGATTTGAGTGATTTTAAAATATTAGATACTAAATACAAATTGTATAATTTATCAATATATACACACAATTAAGTGTATTCATTTTAGCCAGAACAGATTTAGATCAAATCTAGTGTGAGACTGGGGACAGAATTATAGTGTCGGAATAGAGAAATGTACCCCATATTAAACTGTTTCGCTTACTTATGATAATTGAAGATGAGACAATTGATGATGTGAATATAAAATATGTAAGGATATAAAACTGTACATTATTGTAGATCACATACTAATTTACTTTAATATGTATATGACTATATCTGTTTAGTTATAAAAGATTGTCTTTTGTAGCCAGTTTTGTATGTCTTTGTTTCTCCCAAAAACTGGCTATCTTTCAAAATGCTTTTGAAAGTTTTCATACTATTTTCCCTTGCAGTGTAAATTTTTTTGGTACATGCATCAGTTTTAGAGATTCTAGACCGTCGCAATCTTGTGTGAAATGATATTTCATTTACCTGGATTGTATTAACAACTGAATAGTAATGAATTTATTTCCTTAAAAAATAAATATAATTATATTAGAAATTAATTCTGTAAGATGAATGTGGGACAAGATGTCTTTTTAAATTGTACTTTTGCTTTTTATTGGGAATGTCAAATATTTATTGAATAATAGTTGGTTTATATCATTATATAAGTTTTACATGCATGCAGCATTAGAATTCATACATCTAGTTTCCATTCACCACCAAAATCTCTTCTAATTGTCTATGTTCGTTCCTAACTTTTTAATATCTTAGGGTTAAATTAAAAACTTTAGCGTTAAAATAAATCCATATGTAACTACACAGTGTGAGAGGTAGGAGCTCAATTAGCTAACATAGCTTATTAAAGGATGGGCATATTTTATCCTAAATTGTGCTATAATTATTATCTCCATCTTTTTATAGTATACACAGCAAATTAGCTTTGCAAACATTCAGTATTTTTAATAGGGACCATAAGATGTTAAGGGATAAATGTCATTGAAATTGTAAAAAATTCTTTTTTTTGTTTCTGTTACAGTTACTTTGGAATAAGAATCACATAACTGAAATACTTAAAAAAAATTATTTGGCTTTTTTTAAAAGGAAATTTTTATTTTTTTTTTTAATTTTTATTTTGTAAAGATTTATTTTATTTATACAAGAACTGGGCTATAGGCCAGATGTGCAGGAGGGTGAGGGGACCCACCAGAGACAGAGCGGGAAACAGAACAGGCAGAATGACTGAAATACACTGCTGAGAGGAGCAGCAGCTGGCGGGGATGGAATCCGTACTGCAGAGGCTGTGGACAGCCTGTGCCCAACCACCTCCCCACCAGGGTATATGCCAGAGGTGCAGGAGTTAATAGTATTCACCAGAGACAGAGTGGGGAGCAGAACAGGCAGATCTACAGAAATCCACTGCTGAGGGGAACAGAATGCAAGACTGGAGAGGGGAACCAGACTTCACCATTGGGGGACCAAACTCATGGAGCAGTGGTGGTAGGGCTGAGGCCACCAGGGAGGCCCATATTCAGCATTCCTGTATTTACTTCTTTGATGAGGCAGTGTCTGTTAGACACAGTAATTAAGACAATATAAATATTAGAATATATTGGATTTATGACAAAAGAAGATTGAAGATTACATGAAACCACCCCATAAGCATGGGTCTTTGATTTATGATAAAAGTGACACTGCCTTGCTAAAAGAGTAATAAGAATGCTTGTTTTCACAAATTATTTTGTATTGATGGGATTCATTATGGAAAAATAAAAGTCATCCATATGTCATAACACATTCGTAGTCTTTTTTTTTAGTTCATAAAGTAAAATACAATCTATAAAATTAAAGCTTCTAAAATTTTATTAATAGGCATCAGAGTAGAATCAGGAATAATATTCTTCCCTTCTTGACATTTTAGCAACATTACTCTGTTCCCCTCTGAGAAATTTCAGAAAAAGCCATTATTTACATTGAAAATGCTATTAAAGGGCCTCCCCGGTGGCGCAGCGGTTGAGCGCTGGGTTGCGAAGCTGCCCGCGCCTGAGGCGCCAGTTCGATCCCCGGCTGCTCCCCGGCCACCGGAGGAGGGTCCCACATGGCGCGCAGACCTCTCCTGCTGCCCGCTGCTCCCCTCAGCAGTGTACTTCGGTCCTTCTGCCTGCTCTGCTCCCCACTCTGGCTCTGGTGAATTCTCTCACCCTCCCGTGCTTCTGACTGTACCCAGTGCTTGTATAAACAAACAAACAAATAAATAAATAAAGCATGCCTCTATTAAAAAAAAAAAAGAAAAGAAAATGCTATTAAAACTTCATTTTTCAAAAAATATTTATGCATATAAGAACTGGGGTACAAATAGAATTGTGGGGTCTGAGAGGATTCACCAGAGACAGAGTGGGGAACAGAGCAGGCACACTAACTGAAATACACTGCTGAGGGGAGCAGCGGGGAGACAGGAGAGGTCTGCTGCACCATGTGTGTTGCTCCCTGGCCAACCCAGGATTGAACAGGTGCTGCAGAGGCTGCGGGGACCTTCATAGTTAACACTTGCGCCACCCGAGAGGCCCAGAACTTTAATTATTGTTGAATAATCTGAGAAAGCAAAGGAAAAAATCAGCTGATATAAACTATTTTTTTTATATTTTTTCCTACTCATAATGTTTTTTGTCATCTGTGTTAAAATTGTGTCACCAAAATATTTCCTGCGCTACGAAGGAAAATACAAGTAAATAGTAAAATCTTACAGTTTCTTATGTCTATATTCTTTAAGGGCAATTAAAGCATTTCAAGAAGTGCTTTATGTTGATCCCAGCTTTTGTCGAGCCAAGGAAATTCATTTACGACTTGGGCTTATGTTCAAAGTGAACACAGACTATGAATCTAGTTTAAAGGTAGGTGGTTGGCATTGTCCCTTGATACGTTACCGTGTGTGTGTGTGTGTGTGTGTGTGTGTGTGTGTGTGTGTGTGTGTGTGTGTGTAAATCTGCAGACGATAGAGATGCTGGAACTTATGTTACTTAATGTTCTTTTTAAAAAGAACAAATTTAGGGTATGAACTGAAAGCTTGGTATCACTGCACAAAATAGACACAGATTAAAATTTGCTACTTTAGTACATGGTGCTTTATTTTTTGTTTCTTTTTTAAAAATACTGTTTTGTAATTAGGAAGCAGTGCTCATTTGAATTCTAAAGTACTCTATAGTTACTGACTGCCATAGAAATGAAGAGGAATCAGTTCATATGAACTTTGTAACAGGAGGGCATGTGCACAGGAAATTTTTGTAACAAATGCTTTTTAGCATTTTATCTCTTGAATAGGAAAGGATATGTAGATTTATATTCTGGAGGCAGCTCCTTTTTCTTGCTAGACTCCAGCCTGTCTTTTGGTCACTGCTGTTGTGTTTTCAGAATAAATTATTTAGAAATCTATTGATTATGGGCTTATGTAGTTTATAACTACAATTTCCTCATGAAGTACTATTGTTGCTAACTACTTGCACCATTGAATATAACTTTTGACTACCTCAGAACTAGACCACTAGTAATCCTACTCTTGTTCAGAAGTTTATTAATAAATAACAAATTAACACACTTTATTTTGTATGTATTACATGCTGTATTCTTAAAATGAACTTTCAAAATGTGGAGAAAATGCATTTCTAGTGTTGTACTGTATTTCTCAATACCATAAGGTTATGCTTCTGTTTACAAGAAAATATTTTTTTTTTAAGATTTATTTATGCACACAAGAACTGGGGTATAGGGCAGAGGTGTGTGGGGCAAGAGAATTCACCAGAGACAGAGTGGGGAGCAGAACAGGAAGACTGACTGAAATATACTGCTTATGGGAGCAGTGGGAAGGCAGGAGAGATCTGCTGTACCATGTGGATCAGCTCCCTGGCTGGTGATCAAACTTGTGCTGCAGTGGCTGCAGACAGCTTCATATGTTGTGTTGTAACCCCTTGCACCGCCAGGGAGGCCCTGTTCACAAGAAAATCTTAATATAAAGTATACCCATGTCTGGAAATAAGTTTTCTTTTAAATAACTGTCACATGTAAAATGTAAAGGTTAGGAAAACATTGCGCTTTTATAATATTTGTGTGTTCGCCAGATTGAAATACACAAAATGTTGCTTTTTATTTTGTTTTATTTTGTTATTTGGCTTTCTGTTAGTTACTTCTTGAATATCCTGAGTTGATACATACTTGAAGGAACATGGTACCTAATTCTCTACTTTGCATTTCCAAGCAAAGTTTTGTTTTTTTTTTTTAAAGATTTATTTATTTATGTATACAAGAGCTGGGGTACTGGCCAGAGGATTTACCAGAGACAGAGTGGGGAACTGAATAGGCAGATTGACTGAAGTACACCGCTGAGGGGAGCAGCGGACGAGACAGGAGAGGTCTGCCTTGCCATGTGGGTTGATCCCTTGCTGGCCAGGGATCGAACTGAACTCATGCTGCAGAGGCTGCAGATTACTTCATAGTGTGGTGTTTAACCCCTTGCGCCACCAGGGAAGCCCATGCAAATGTTTTTGATGTAGCCTTTGAATAATACATTGACAATATTTGGTTTTCTAGGCTTAGTGACCTGAGTGATATTTTATAAAAAATACAGACATCACTTGAATTTATTCATAAGGTAGTGAGTATCTGCTTTGGTTAGATTAATACATATTTCCTCCAAATAATTACTTTGATTTCTATCTTTTTTTTTATATTATATGTTTCTGAGTTCTGATGAATTTATTGCTTTCGTGTTTAATTACACTTTTGCAGACACGCACTTCACCAGTAGTGGTAATTGTGAAACTGAATTGAATACACAATGAGCAATGTTTCTGAGATAAAATTAGTATATCCTCTTGGTTTTCTTTGTTTTGCACTTTAATATCATTTCATTTTTAACTCTGGTAGCTTTTATTGATAGTATGTTCAATAACCTTGTTTTGCCATATGTTATCAGGACAAAATTTAGATTTTTACCTTCCTAACTTAGCTAATAATGTTACGATGAAGCAGTCTTGAAAAAACAATGCATAGGGTTGTACAAATAATAAGCTGTGCCCATTTTTTGACTGGATTATTTACTTTGTTTTTGTTGAGTCTTGTGAGCTCTTTGTAGCCTTCATAATCAGTTTCTTATAAGTTGTATTGTGTGATGGTTCATGGGTGAATTGGTGGTGGGGATTTTGCTAGGAATTCACAGCGGTATAATAGAAACAAAATTAAAAAAAAGACAGTTACATATTAAAAAAAGTGTTAATAAATTAAAGTTTAAGTTTTTAAATTTATTTGCACATTTTTCTGTTAGACATCCCAAAATTATTATTGCACTTTGATAAGACTTGTCTGGTGGTTACTCTGTACAGTGGACAAATTCATTCACCATGTGCTTAATTCCCTACTTTGCATTTCTAAGCAAAGGTCTTTGATGTAGCCTTTGAATAATGAAATAAAATATACTAATTTTATGTAAAATTGATAAAAAATTGATATAAAAACATTTTCTGTATTCACCTCATCATGAAATGATTATGAAATAGTAAAATGGCATTAATCCTCACACATGCCTGAATAACACTGCTGAGTAATACTCCTCTCAAACACTGAAATGAAAATAAAAAGACCTGAATACTGGCCTTTATTTTTGTATTTTTTTTTTAAGTTATTTAATGTCTTTTACTATTTTGGGGGTTTAATAATAATACTTAATATTAATGTGGAAATTCCTGTACAATAAGCATGTGCATAAATTGTAATGTGTAACATGTTATTGCATTCTTCACAATTTGAAAGCTTTTGGATAGTATGGTAAGGCAGAGTCTTAAAACTTTTCACTCTGGGGCCTCCCAGGTGGCACAGCGGTTGAGCGCTGGGCTGCGAAGCTGCCCACAGCCTCTGCAGGACCTGTTCAATCCCTGGCCGCCACAAGGTGTGCAGACCTCTCCTGCCGCGCCCGCTGCTCCCCTCAGCAGTGTACTTCGTCAGTCTGCCTGTTCTGCACCCCTGCTCTGGCTCTGGTGAATTCTCTTACTCTCCCACATTTCTGACTGTACCCAGTGCTTGTATAAATAAATAAATAAATCTTAAAAAAAAAACCAAACTTTTCACTCTATGTCATAATAGATTACTGGCATATTAATGTGTAAATGATACTGGAATTACACATTTTCAGGCCTAGTCTCCCAGCCGGAAACAGTGCTCAGTCTCTGCCTTTATAGATGTTCAGGCAAGCAAGTGAGAAGGGGCAGATTTTTTATAGGCAGAAAAAGTTTATTGAGGAAGGAACAGACTCTCAGATTGGTGGGGCCAGGTCAGCGAAGGGCAAGGAAGCCAAAGTGAAGTTGTACCTCAGGCTCCAGCAGTCTTTTTGTGTTTGGATAGTTCTCTGTGGTCTCACTGCCTGAATGTCTCTGTGCCCAGAGCGAAGTCTCTGTATACCAGCCCTCATATTTTTTCTTCATGATCCTTGTTCAGGAATCTCCTGTTGTTTCCTACTCCTGCGTGTGTGATTAGTCCCCTTTGGAATTTGTTGTCTTTATTCTAGAGCCTTCCTTAATTCTCCTGAAGTCCCTACACTGTCCCTGAAGCTGCTTATTTAACCCTAACTTGCCCTAGGACTCATTATCCTATGAATCTGTGAGCTACTAACTTGATTTTACTTGGAACTTCAATTCATTCTTCAGTGTGTTATGTGTAGAACATTTTTGGTGTGTTTTCCCTAACAAAAGAAATCTACTGAGTTATCAAAATCCATCCCAAGTTAATAAGCACAGTATTATAAGAGAACTCAATATAAGTGGATCACCAAAGAGAATAATGTAAGTTTCTGACTTTAAGAAGTCACTAATTCTCTATGCTCTAAATTTCCTGGGAATGCAAATAGAAAATTCAGTTTTATATTTTATTATTTTTTGAACAATGATTTTTGTAAGGATTTATTTAATTATACGTACAAGAACCGGGGTTTAGGCCAGAGCATGGGGGTAAGAGGGTTCACCAGAGACAGAATGGGAAACAGAAGAGGTATTGTACTGAAATACACTGCTAAGGGGAGCAGCGGGCAAGTCAGGAGAGGTCTTTTGTGCCATGTGGGTCACCTCCCTTGCCAGGGATCAAACTCATGTTGCAGTTGCTGCGGATAGCTTCATAGTGCTGTGTCTTAACCTTTTGCTCCACCAGGGAGGCCCCAGAAAATGCAATTTTTAAAGTATAAAATTAGTCAATTGAGTTAGAAATACAATCTCTAAATTCTAAACATTTTTTAATGAAAATGGAATGATTTATATTTTGTTTACTACTAGAATTGTTATGAAATTGTTAGTTAACATAAGAGCGTTCCCTTCTTCTGTTCTTGCTTTTTAACTTTCTTGTGGTATTGTATAAAGGAAACTTGAAATTTATCGCCTGTGTTAATTTAGGGCAAAAGATAGTTAACATTAAAGGGCAATTGATCGCCTTTTCTCCAGGGAAAGCTATTTTAATTTAAAATTACAGTTACTTGTGCCTCCCTGGGGGTGCAGGAAGTTGAGTGCTGCACTGTGAAGCTGTCCACAGCCTCTGCAGCGTGGGTTCGATCCTGGCCAGCTGGTGAGACTCCCACATGGGGAAGCAGACCTCTCCTGTCTCACCCACTGCTCCCCTCAGCAGTGTATTTCGTCAGTCTGCCTTTTCTGTTCCCCGTCTATCTCCGGTGAATCCTCTCACTCTCCCACACCTCTGGCCTTGTATAAAAATAAATAAATCTTTTAAAAAAAATAAAATTTCAGTTACTTGATAAAATAGAAGTTATTAATTAGATTATGAAATTGTTTTAGTGAAGAGGAGTGAAGAAAATTGGTGGCTTGTGTGGTTTGTAGGTTTTCAGACGTAAACGTAAATAGGTAGC